GAGGTTATCAGACATTTCAAGTCTTGAATAATCCCCGTTCGTCTTATTCGCTGTGGATGATGGGGCGTGTCTATGAGGCTGGGTTTGGCGCGTTGCCAGATCGCTCTCCTCCAGTTGATGAAGCGATTGGTGGAGAACGACTATTGTGAGCGATGTGATACAGTCTTTGTAACTTGCCCGCTTCAACAGCTAGTCGAGAACGGGTTTGGCGCTGCGCCAAAGTAATCCGCCTGACACTCTCTATTATCCTCAGTGAACAACTTCTTCATGAGCTTCGTTTATTTATCTGCTGTAATATTCAGGCCATTGATATGTGTCGTAGACTCCTGTCGAACGGTACGGCACCTTCAATTCATTTGTATACAATGAACAGAGAAGGAGCTTGTCGGTAGGCCTCCTATTACCCCCTTGTCTTGAGAATACTTGACGACAAATTTTCAATGAAGCGTTCTTTCAGTGAAATTCTCCAAGAATTAGGACTTTGGCACAAGCGACCGATGCGGACCTTACCTTGGGAACCCCATGGTTGTGTTATCCTTTGAGGTACGTAAGCAGTCTCTTCCACTATAATTATGGTTATACATATTCTTTAGATGCAAGGAAGATGTGCGGCCAATTTTCTGGAGTGCCCGACCAAAGAGTTATATTTATCGAACCAGGGTGACATAGAATTTGTCTGCACTGTGTTTTACTCTAAACTAGTTTTGCTTTTTTCAGGACTGGGACGATTTCCCCAATGGACGATGGGGTAACAGTTCTTCTCCAGCCTTCGGCGATTTACAGGATTATTATCTTTTCCACTTGAAGGTGAGTTGTGTATGGTACTGCGAATAATCAGCATAACAGGAAACGTTATGCATTCTCCATTTAGGCCCAAACCAAGAAAGAAGATCTCTTGAAAATGTACGGTGAAGAGATAGCCTCCTTCGACGACGTGAAGAAAGTGTTCGCAAATTTCATTTCGCAAGCAGTTAACGATCAAGGGGTCAAGGTATGTACCGTCATAAATAATTGTGCCCTATTAGGGTCGTATCAGTCTTTTTTGAATGGCTGGCTTAACCTTTTCAGAAGTGCTAAAATTGCTAAGTGATTTCAGGTGACGACTTTGCCATGGAACGAGCAAGAGAGTGGTGTACAAGCAGAGACGGAGCTGATCAATGAACAGCTGCTGTGGTGCAATGAGAACGTTTGTTTTTGCAGAGATTCGAGATTTAGTCATACCAATTGCCATTGTTAACCTGATTCGCTTTCAAGGGTATCCTTACGGTGAACAGTCAGCCGTCAGTCAACGGAGCGCCATCTACAGATCCACTTGTTGGATGGGAAAGCCGGGTAGTTATTGTTACCAAAAGGTCAGTTAATTCATTTTGATCAGCCCAAGATATAAAGCTTATTTTGTTGTATATATGATTCTAGGCGTATCTTGAATGTTTTATTAGCAAAGAGAATGCGAAATCACTTCTGGAGATTATTGACGAGTACTACCCACGGGTCAACTATCACCTTATCAATCATGATGTAGGTTCTGCCATCATTTCTTCACCCATGTTATTCTCATCACTTTCACAGGATCTCAGTTTTTTATTCAATTTTTTATAACTCTCGTTATCAAAGTGATTAACCGAAATTGGCAGCCGATGTGCATGTGTTTTATGCTCTCACCACAGAAGTCCGCCAACTTACCATGGAACTTGAATGGAGACCTGGGTAGATCGATAGAGTCTATAAGGTTATTTACAAATATAGATAGCAAAACTGCAACCTGCATTTCACAAGCAACTTATGAGCAGGTAAAGTTTGTAATGGTGCAGTAGGGTGGAGGCTTGGTGGTGAGCTGTGAAGCATAAGCGAGGAATCGCATACGTCGAATCGAGTCGTGGTGGTTCAGTGGTAAGGTTCGACGTTCGACGACTCGATTCGACGACGCAGAGGAGTCCTT